AATTATCGATTCTCCGGCGCCTCTGTAAGCACCCAAAATACAAGTTTTTAAAAACTTGGATATATGTCACAACAACCATATTAGTGTCATAGCAATAGTTCTATGCAACAACAGTTCCTATTTAATATGTAGAAATATAAAAGTATAGTGTGAAGCAAGTCAAAATTCACTGAACTTTTATGCGGGGCTTTATTGTATATCATAATCATTTCACTGTACATACATAACTATTTTTATTGGCAATTTTCTAATAGACATACAACCTAATAAGTATATATATTTGTTAAATTTGATATACAATACCTTGTTGGCTTGATATTTTGACAGAAATATGTATGCGAGATCACACTTAGCTCCGCATAAAATATAGCAAGTTTACACATCGCGCTAGCAAGTTTGGTACAGGTACAGCGAGTTCACAATTCACTGCTTTTTTGAAAAACATAATATGAACGGCCCCTTTTGATTTGATTTGACCAAAAGATCACCACGCGAACACGCACCAAAATTAGCAAAATATAGTCGAAGGTAACATTTTGGGGGCTCAGGCGGGAAAAAATCTAACGATGTATTTCAACGTATTTGGCGACAAGATGAGTGTATAAAGTATACGGCGTGACCTTTGCATGCATGGGACAGTAAATATGGCTGCAGCTGAAGAAACAGAGATTATATTGGACGGTAAACTGCTGGCGTTGGGTATCACAGACCTGACTGAATTTGGCTTGTATCTGAAAGTCGATAAAGCAAAGATCGAAGGATAGACAAAGGTAAAAATTATTAAAGTAATTCGAACCGAACTCGAAAAGATTAATTATAAACACGTTCGATTCTGACGAACAGACTAACGAATATTTAAAGCTAGGGTTTAATTGATTTTCTCGACCAAAATGAGGAAGGTAACACGTTAACGCAATTGACTCGCAACAAAAAGCTATATTCAAGAAAACCTTTTGCAAGCAAAACATTCGGAAAATATTCCAAAGTCAAGTGGAAGCGGCCCTATTGTTACTGACTCAACAAAAATGCCTTTCTTGGGGTTAAACTATGGCTTACAGGCAACAATTATGCATAGAGATTTCAAGATTGAAGGAGCAATAGGCGAAGTTGGGCAAAAGGACAAACTAGGCTACCAATCATTAATGTTGCAAGTGGAAATTGGGTTAGGGAAAGGTTGTACAGATAAAAAAAATAGTTAGAAATACTTACTGCAGTAATTAGAGCTGTTCACCTGTCACCTAGACAACATACTCGTGTTGCACAGCTAGTAGGGAATAAGTTCTCCGTAAGCTGTCATTTAGATGGGCAAGCTGTGATTGCATTGTGTACACCGGTGCCCAGGTCTCAATTGTTTCAGAAACCTTCATGCTTTTTGCATTGGTCATTTTCTTTCACCTTACCCTTTCAGAAAACGATATTTTTGCATAAATCTACTTAAAAATGAACAAAGATTTCAAGAGGGGATACTACCTTATTAACGTCGATGCTGACTGCTTATCAAGACCACCGCGAGATATACAAAATATATGGAAAGTTGCAGTGTCAAGATTTCGCCTGACGTTATTCAAGCTACTGTCTCCGCGGTTAAAGCACAAGAAACAGGTGACGTCTGGATAACAGCCGTAACCTCTCATGAGAAAGAACTATAACCTGATAAACACTATGACGCAATGCCTGCTGGCACAAGTAAACTAAAGGACGTGGACATAGTCAAAGCACAACACGAGGACGCTACAATAGCTCGCGTTTTACAACTCTTAAAGACCAGTCAAAAACCTTCTGTAACAAAAATACGACGAGAAACACCACAAGTTCGAAAGTAGCTACCTCTGTAAATGGCATCAGTTAAATGTTAACAAAAAGAACGGCATTCTATACCACAAAGAACAGTCGGTACTACCCCACAAGTTTAAGCGCATGGTTTACAGGGAACTTCACGAAGAAATGGGACACCTAGGCGTAGAACGAGTATTCGATCTAGCACGTCAGCGATTCTTCTGGCCAAACATGCGAAAGGACATCGAACATTTTATCCATCACGTCTGCCGATGTCTCAAGCAAAAACAATCGAATCGACATACAGTTATACCGCTACAACTAATTGTCACAACTGTACCGTTCCAATTAATCTCGATTGACTTTGTACATTTCGAGCAGAGTTCCGGTGGTTACCAATATATCTTAGTAGTTGTCGATCATTTTACTAAGTATTCTCAAGCCTACCTTACGAAAAATAAGAGCAGTGTGACGGCGGCGGATAGAATTTTTAATGATTTTATGCAACGGTTTGGCGTCCCGAAAAAAATCCATCTCGACATGAGCGGGGAGTTTGAGAACAATCTTTTCAAGCGTTTAGAACAATTAACCGGTGTAACGCACGAGAGGACTACACCGTATCATCCTCAATGCAACGGCATAGTTGAGCGGATGAACCGTACTTTGTTAGGCATGCTGCGAACATTACCAGAGTCATATAAGTCAAGATGGAAAGATCACCTTAATAAACTCATCCATACGTACAATTGCACTGTCCACGAGTCCACGAACTATTCACCATTTTATCTGTTCGGGAGAAGTCCCAGACTACCTATTGATTTAATGTTTGACTTGCCAGACAAAGCGGAAAGTAATTGACGATCAGATTATGTGTCGAAGCGGAAAACTGCACTGAGCGAGGCTTACCGAATTGCTCACGAAGCTACTACGAAGAGTGCCGAAAAAGGATAGAAGAACTGTGATCGTCGTATACGCTACACGGACTTACAACCAGGAGATCCTGTTCTTGTCCGAAACCTTTCACCGAGGAGGAGGACCGGGGAAACTTCGAGCATTTGGGGAAGACGAAGTACACATAGTCGTTTCACGACAGGGACCCGAGAGTCCGGTCTACGGGTTTCGACCTGAAACAGGACGGGGCGTAATCGCGTGCTACATAGAAATCTTCTCCTTGCATGCGAACATCTGCCATTAGAAATTAACCATGTGAATTAACTCGAAAGAGAACGGAAACACACGTGTACCTCACAATGAGAGTGAAGACGAAAGATCGAACAGTGATAGCGACACCGAGGGTGAATTTCGAGTTACCGTTCACCAACCTGAGAGAATGGAAGTTATAACCCAGATATTCCTGATCCAGTTCAGTTAGAAATTGACCCTGCAAATGAGATTGGTTATATTGCGGAAAGATATCCAGCAAGGTACAGTACAAGAGAACTTAGAAGTGGTTGATGATGTTCAGGATCACACAAATGAGGCCTGCTCTGGGACCTTAACTCGCCGCGAGATAAGGCGAGCCTATGCGAGTTAAGGCGAGATGGGGCGAGTTAAGGAAAAGTCTGGCTACTGACCCTTGCAAGTTAAGGCGAGATAAGGCGAAAAATCTGGATATTGTATACACACTATGTATTTTGCTTTGTTTGTGCATTATGCAAAGCAAGTATGCTGTACTTGAAGTAGCAGGCCTAGAAAAGTGTTTTATTCTATATTCTACAATACATACATGATATGCACAATAACTCGGGACCTGGAAACAAGTTGCATCAAAACGAGGCTGGTAGCCAGATGCCAAATTGTATCATTTGAGGCATTATGCATAGTGTGTATAGAACTGCATTGTTTCCTAAATCTTCACAGTATCAGTTGCTAACTTGCTATGACTAGCTTCACCACATATTTTGTAATTTTTAGCTGTTTTCATGAATCATGACATTTAATCAATTAGGTTCGAATTTGTTTGCAAGCAGCAGTCCTTGTATTCATTTTTTAATTTATTTTAATATAAACATTGATATGAAACAAAGAGAAACTAAAAAGCTTGCTAGGAAATTATAGATTATTTACTATAAAATTTAGCACTGTAATAACTATTTTAATTAACGAAATTTCGAACCACAATGGCATATTAAATGATAACCAACCTATAGGTTTTTATAGGCAATTGGAACGTTTTCTATAGGTGACCTATAGGGATGCCTATCAGTCTATAGAGCAATGATTCCTCTGTATAAAACTGTATTATTGTTTAATATATTCCTATTTCCTATCAAGCTTTTATATTCAGAATTCACTGCCTCTCATTAACACTAACACTAAATATTGCAAGCAGATAGTAATTTTCCGCTGAAGGGAGCAATATTTGCAATATCTGTTCCAGACAGCATTCCGCCCCCCTGATAAACGGAATCTTCCTTCCCATCATCGCCGTAATTCCTCTGTGGTCGGGGGGAGGGAGTCTACGCAGTCTATAAGTCACAATCATTCGATTCCGAAAACGCAATATGGCGGGATATGCATCAACATTTTAAAGTTTTTTATCATGTTATTCATGTACTATGATATTAAAATGAGATTCAAAAAGCCTTGTCACTACAGATTGTTTGTACTAAATTTAATATTGGTCACAGACAGGCAAGCACGGTATGTTTACTACAATATTCACCTTTAACTTTGCTTTTACTGTAAATCTATATTTTCACCAATTTTGTGAATGTGATTGTGTATTAAAATATTTCTCCTAAAATTCTGCGCGTATCGTTGGTTCAGTAGCTCTGTTGCCGGTTGTATATAAAAACAGTTCAACGAATAACTTTGCAGTTTGAGCTGTTGATATCACAGAGACCTTTATACTATAAGTACGTATAACAGTATTTTAGTAAGATTTGATAGTCATGTGATAGCTGCATAAAAGCTAAGCAAGTACTTTTGATGTTTTGATATCATTGTATAGTTGAAATAGAATAAATACGTGATCTGTATATTAGTATATATGGGAATATTAATTTTCAACCATACTTGGCAGTTTGGGTTCTGTTATTATGTTCAATTATTTTCACTGTGATTTATTAAATACTGGGTATTACTGTATATGCCTGCTAAGGCCTGCTTACTGTATTAAAGTAGAGTAGTTGGTGGAATTATTTGATCAATACAGCTTTATGGCATTATAGAGAATGTAGTAAATTAAAAATATGATAACATTTCGGATAATCAGGCTTACATACTTGTATGTTGATCTCAGTTGCAATGCCAAACTCATAGAATATATAAGTGAGTATTGTGAGTCTAAAGAATTTTGATTGACAGTATTTGTGTTTTACTGACGTGAAACTGTGCCGGTTTTTATTGCAAAATAGGGCGAGTTTAGGCGGAGTTAAGCAAAATTCTGTCAACTTCTCATCGCGAGATAAGGCGAGATTGGGCGAGTTAA